ACTTGTCCCCGGTGACCGGGGCCCGGTCTCCATAATGAAGCCAGTAGTAGCCCCAGGCTGATCGGATGGTCTAGATGATATTGCTTATTTTCAGCAAGTATGCTTGGAGTATTGATAGTCTCGCGGTTTTAACTCTTCAGTTGTATAGTTAACTCGTTACACTATGATGATCATATAGGTCATAGTATGATGATCTATATGATTTTGAGAGGCTTGCTTAGCACATATCAACCGTCGTTTTTTCTCAGTGAAGCTTTTCTTTTGCAAGGAAGAGACAGTGGCTGACACGCGGGACTTGTGTCAGCCACAGTGCCACAGTGGCGAGTTTGAGATTGAACAAACATAGAGAGACTATACGGCTATATTTTCTGACTATGCGATGAGGTAGATATACGTTTGTACAGTATCAATAGTCAACGAATCACGGCTCTCGTTCGTAGAGGACGCTTCGTCAACGCATATCGTGTGAATTCCAAGACCGAATTCACACGATAGAGCGCTCAAACTTCGAGCAATGAACCTGTCACATTAGGCAAATCCAACCCGAGGCATACTTCTCAGGCAGCATGTACGTAGTTTCGGACAAATTTGGAGCAAGATCGTTCAAATTACAATCTAGTGTGACCGTGGCATCAAAACGACTGGAAAAATGCTCCTTTCGAGGCTTTCTTCAATTCTTTGGTTATTTTTCTACCACTTTGACCTTTTTTGGCGTTTCCCCCCTCTTTTTCGCTATTTTTCCAAAATCCAGGGAATGGAAGGAAAATTTTGACTGGAAAATTCGGTGCCATTTCAAAACACCGTTCAAGGGATAAACTGTAGGTCGGTTGGTGGCGAGTTACAGAATAGTCGTGGACTCGAATCTAACTGTGAATACTTGACGAACAACCTTTCTCAAAGAGTCTCGCGGTTACCACAGTGAAAATCGAGCTGGCTAGGTGTGGTTTTTTCTCGTTAGAGTGGAAAACATTTCACATTCCCCGGAGAACGCGGCTGCTCGTGATATTGGGTTTGCGGTTTTCGCGATATGATCTTTCGCGTTGGCGGTTTTTGGTTATGTTATAAAGTTGGTTACCTTTTCGCGATGTCACTATGCGGTTGCCAGGTTTTCGTGATTTCCAGGTGCATCCTCATTGTAATTTTCATTTTACACGTTGGCAAATTGGACGAATCCTCATAGTTTTGTCTTTCTCTTTCCAACTCAAGCCACAATCGAAATTGGACGCCGAGTAACTTAATTTTTTCAACGTCGTGATATGTATATGCATTTTAACTTGACACGCACTGTAACTAATAATTACTAATTATTCTCTACAATGTCATCCCTCACGAAGTTGTCTATCGCACAAAGTTTGCACATGTCGAATCGACGTTGTCGATTGTATGCGTTAGATAAGCGGAGAGTATCGGCGGGACCTGCACCCCGGGACTCGATTGAAGGAGATTACCGGTTCTCGTCCATTCTCCGGCCCGAGAGCGGGACGAGATAAGAAGAACCCTCCCCGAATGAGAACGAGACGAGAAACGAGGGGCCATCTCGTTCACGCCGTGAACTTCACGGCTGCATGAGTAAAAATTGTGTGTCCGGAAACCGCCTCCGATTAGCGATGAGGGTGCGGTGCGTTATGAAACCAGTAGTTGTGTTAGCCGAGGGGAATGTGCACTCTAGTGAGCTGTTGGCACTGTTAGAGCCCTGTTACCTAGAGTTCGAGTTAGAGGACTTCCCGGGAACACGACGCGCAGGAGGCATAGGGAAGTCGGGACGAAGAAGACAAAAGTTAATCGACCAATGAGCAATGAGCTTCAGCGCGCAGCACGCATGTGCATAGCGCTTCTGCGTGAAACTACGTCACGATAGAGGGTGTCTCACTACTATGGGAATAACATAGAAACAGACTAGAAATAGAGGAGAATACAACGCTCACTAGCACCGCGAATGATTTTGACGAGCATTCGCACACTATCGTTACCAACAATTTATCTACGACTTCCCATTAACACGTAATGATAATTACCCACTATACCTCCATGACGAAGGGGCGGAGCTCATTTAGTGTACGTCTATTGATTCGATCAATGAAGTGCGGCCAAAATCGCCAATTTTTTAAAACATATGAAAGTGTTTCACTATCCAGGACCCGGATTCCGGGTTGAGTTTGCTCGTAAATCTTCTCTCCCTCTGATCTCAGTCTGTTAAATGACTCCGGTGAGCGGTTCTCCACGAATCGAATCGTCGTTAAGCTCCATTGAAGACACTGCTGTGGTGACTGATCATGCTGAGGATGGTCCTAAGAGCCCGGTTGCCAAAAAGAGAAGGTTCTCGTTCGCTGACTGGAAACAAGACGGGCCTCAAGGGGGTGAAAAGCAAGGTTTGCGCCTCTGTTGGAGGACAGAAAGAATACCCGATCCGAAATCGGGAAAACGCCTGGGACCGATTTCAGAAGAATCTGCCGCATTGGCGAGAACAAACCCTTCCCTGACTGTGCAGTTTGCAATCTGCCTGGCTGTTCCATCGTTATACCTATGCCTGGTGCCAATATTAGCGGGTTGAAGAGACATAAATGTGTTGCTAAGCTGCCATTGAATGGTGGACAGCTGAAAATCGGAGGCTTCGTCGCAGATGATACTCCGCTCTCGAAGGACGACCGTGATCGTCTAAATAGATCAATCCTCAAATTCATCTGTGCGACAGCGAACCCGTTCATTCTATGTGAGAACGAAGATTTCATGAATCTGCTGCAAGATGTAGCTAATATTTCTGCGAAGAGAGGGAGAAAGGTCGACATCCGCAAAGAGATTGTGTGCGCTAAAACGATGAGAACACGAGCGTCAGATCTGGCCAATCACAGAAGGGAAATGCTCGTTAAGGGTTTAAAGGACCATCCCAGGCCTATACAAGTGAGTGCAATGGCTTTCAACTTGTTCCGTACGGCCTCAATCAGATGAGTTTCGACGGCTGGTCCGATAGCCGACAAGGTGACAAGATCTTAGGTTTTGTGTTGAACTACCTCCACCGCAATAGTTCAACTGAAGCTGAAGCAAGACCTGTCGTTGTAGCCCTGCAAGCAATAGAAAATGGAGAAGGAACAACGATCTCTATTGAGTTGGAGAAGGTACTGAAATGCTTGAATGTCAACAATGTGCTTGCTCTGTGATTTTTCTCTCATGCCTGTCGTGATGGTTCGCGGTTCAACGGACTCTGTTGGTACGATCAGGTTCACCGGGCGCGGTGAATTTCACCCTTGTCAATGTAGTCCGATGCTCTCAGATATGCGACCTATACGAGATTCCGAGCGGATCCGTATTATGGTCCAGCGACTCCGCCAATAACTGTATATCGGCTCTTAATCAAGGGGGTGATGAAGGGTATGCTTCCATCGGGTGTCTTAGCCATCTGCTACAACTCTGTGTGAACGACGGGCTTTACGGGGATGGGAAAGTCGGCGTCATAGAGCTCAGCAAGCTAAGTTTGGAGGAGATATCGAGACCGACACGCGAGGAGGAAGCAGTGGGATCTGGAAGCGAGCTAGACTCAGTACCTCGGGCAGAGGTAGCAGAGGTCCTCTGCTAGTCCGTTCCTGTAGCAGACTGGTGGGGTACATGAAGAAAAGCAAGAACAACGCGAGAATAAACTGTCGAGGATCAAGAATGCTGTCAAGTGAGCTCTAGATTCGTTAATTCACTCTGGCTCTCAGGCTGGATTTTATCTCTCAGGCTAAAGCAAAGATGTTGTACGCGATGGGATAGTACATACGTGATGCTGAATAGCATATTGAGAAGCTGGCAGCCGTTGCAAATCATCCTGGCATCGAAAGGAAAGTTGCTGTAATGGGGTTTCAGACACGGTTGGGCAATCACATGACACTATTATTGGCGATAAATTACTGATGAATATAATGAGAGGAAAAAATGAGGAAAGATTGAGGAAACCAAGGAAAGATTCCTTGGGGTCTAACGCGCGCTTCGCGCGCGCCCTTATTTTGATGTCTCGGTTTTCCTCCAATTGATTTTTCCTGGGGAGTATCGTAGACCGCAAACTTTGCGGCATAGTAACGGTGTCCTCAGATCGCCCAAGTATCTATCGTACCGCACGCCCATGATGATAATGAAACGGCTGCTAATCAGTCATCACTAATTAATACTATTGAGATCTTCACCCAACTCTGGGGATTTGAGTTCTATAACACATGTCCACCCACGAAGATCAGCACAATCATCCGAGAAATCAACAAGGCGACAACGGTGGCCCCATAGCACCCGAAGCTGGAGGAAACCGGAGTGAAGACCCAGCCAATCTAGAGGCACCTTTGGCCGATGACCCCCGCCGAGCGTCGCGTCGACTAGCTGGAAGACCTCCCTCCCCACCACCGCTGAACCTCCCGCGAGAGCTTCGGCCATATGGACGAGCCCAACCAGAAGACGATGGAGATCAAGGCCAAGAGCAACCTCCTCCTTGGCGCGACTACTATTCGTTCCCCGGCTATGTTCCACAACAACGTTCTCTAAGACCGGATCATCTCGTCCCCCGCGGTGGTCAATCCCCTAGAGAGACCATCACGGCAAGAAGATCTAGAGAGGATCAATACCACAAGGGTAACCTTCCGCCAGAATCACCTTCTGACTATGGTGTGTTCTACCCCGGTGGCATCCGAAGAGAAACTTACGAGGCCGATGTCCCTCAACAACTCCATCAACAACATATAAGCTATGCCCCGTCACTTCATCAGAACGGAGAACAGGAGCATTTGCCAGAGAGAGCAACCTACCGGTATACAGATACCTATTCAGGCGGACTACACACACATTCCAGACATGTAGCTCCACCTCCGGTTTATCAACCACCCTACTCTGGTTATCGCCCTGTTGACTCTAAACAACCAACACTTCAAGACTACAATTACCCTTACAATGTGCCTAACTCTATGGTGGTCCCATCGGATAGGATCAACGAGTCGGAGCTGAGAGTCATCCTCAAGGGGACAACAGACCTTGGCAACAGCTGGCGCAGAAAAGGCCATCAGCCATTCATCGGTGGAGAAGATCCCCGTCTAGCATTGACCACTTTGTTGAGGGAATGGAGTAAACATGTAGAGCAAGAATGGCGAACTATCGACCATCCAGAGGCAGTTAGAGCGTTCCATGCCAGCGCCATCTCGGGAGATCTATCAGAAGAGATTAAACGAGCAGCCACCAGAGAGGCAGCAGTTGGCAAAGACACGAGGACTTACACCTACCACCGCGAACTCTGGTCAGCTACAATCGCATACTTGAACAAGTTCCACAGTAAGACGGTCCATATAACTGCTCTCATACAGAAGGTTCTCGGTGAGAAACAAGGCCAGGCTGACATATTTACTTATCTGGATGGTATTCGTCGAGCCCTACTGGAGTTGGCTTACGAGGGAAACGGTTCAGGTGCGCAGATACATGCCTTTCACATCAATGCGGCTGTCCGGAACAACTTGAACAGCCCATATAACGCATGGTGGTATGAAACTGTGGGAACGATCCTGTCTTCATCTCTGAAGAAATGTGTCGACACCATCTCCTATGAGGACATTCAAGAAGCCATCAGAAGGGTCAAAGAGAAGGCTCTTTCGCTGGGCCATCTCCGTCAACCGGGAACTGATGCTCCATCGCAGCCGACACGGTGGCCAGCGACGTTCCAGGTAGCGACATCAACGTCCTCCTCTACCTCGGTAAATGCGGTAGCACCGTCCCTAGCTGCCACAACAGTAGCTCTTAAGGAGCCACCGGTAACGAAGGAGAGTCCCTCAGAACATCGTCCTCGCGTAAAGGCCACTTGTTTCCGTTGTTTCAGCAGCGAGCACCAGACTGTGGCCTGCGACGAAGAACGTCCTCACAAAGAGAATCGTCGCTGTAGATGTGGAAGCTTTCGGCATCCCGTGTCGAGCTGCAAGCTTGAGAAGGCCGGTTCCCTGAGCTGTGAAAGGTGCGAGTCCAAGGAGCATCGGTCTGGTATGTGCCCCTACTCCCTAGTGGATATCAGGAAGGGCGAGCATAAAAAAGGTCCTGGCAATAAGGGCAACGCCACGAATGTGGTATTCAGCCCAGATCTACCACTCGTTGCCCTCGAAGATCCTTCCTCGTTGAGCATGACATTCCACGTCGGCCAGATAGAGCACGACACCCTACATTTTAACCGCTCCGGTCCGGTCTGCACGGAACTTGTCATCGGTCAGAGTCCCCATGCCAAAACGGTGAAAGCCGTACTGGATTCGGGAGCAGGGTACAACTACGCTCAGCCAGCCATCCTAGAGGCACTTGGGCCTTGTGTCCAGTGGCTCAAACCAGAAGGCGAGCATGCTATACAAGCGGTGGGGGTATCAGGTGAGATCATGCCCACTAACAGAGTGGCGATCGTCTCAGTCAGCTCCCCTAAGAGGCCACATGACGTCCACAGACTTCGATTTCTTTGCCCGGAGACCCTGCTTCCGACTATTCTGCTTGGTGTTGAGGGCCTGAAGACTCTCCGCATCGGCATGACCTTCGACGCTTCTGGTGTACACGCGTATAGCGGCGTTGACCCCGAGCAAGCACTGGTCCGTGAAGAGGAGACACGCCCCCAAGAACTCCCAAGAGCCGACACCGATGACATCATCGCTTGTGTGTCCAGCATAGAATGCGACACACAACTTTGCATCTTCGACACTGTCAACTTCCTGGGAGCCGTGGCTGACTCGACCTTCACAGAATGTGGTCTTGATGATGACTATAGCTTCGAGCTATACGCTACTGCAGCCGGTAATCTGCCGCTTCTCAGCAACAAGCTGGACCTCAAGGAGGCTCTCCCACTCGAACGAGCTCTTGACAATCCACACTGTAGCTTCCGAGGCACATACGCTGATGAGCTACAATTGGATTCGGATGGGTTGTTCAGCGTCTCGTGTACCAGATTCCTCCACGACTTCAGCTGGTATGAGGACAGTGATCGCCTTACACCTACAGATGGGAACCTGGCGTTCGCCAAGAGTCATGCCTATAAGCTCGCCAAGTCCCTGAAGCGCCGAGGTCTTCTATCCGCTTACACCAACACCTTTGAAGAGTACTTATCGCGCGGATATATCCAACCGCTTGAAGCTCCTACAGCTCAAGCCTACTTCACTCCCCATTTCCCGGTGATCAAGGGCAAGAAAACTCCAGATGGTGAGGTTGGGAGATGCACAGCGGTGAGACCCGTCTTCGACTGGAGAGTCGGTAATCAAGCGCAGAAGGCAGGCGTCAACATAGATCGTGGTACATGGGAGTGTGTCGCTTATAGTCGGCTTTACAAATACTGTATTTGGGCCGACCTAAAGGCCGCATTTCTCAACTGCCGGGTTCCAGAGCGTACAATGCTCACCATGGCATTTGTCTTAGCCAACATTGAAGGCCAAGAAGACACCCCTACTTATCGGTACTTCCAGTTTCTGGGTCCAGCAATGGGCATATCTGGTTCTCCGGCTGTCCTGCAGCTCTCTGGCAGCATCATGATTGCCGAATCAAATGAGAGAACGGCAGCACGACTAACCGGGAGATTAGACGACCCTAAAGCCTATCCCATCAAGCTGGCTCTGGACGGAGCCTGCCTGGCAACACCTGAAGAACGACACGGTCTTCATCCTAAGGAGCTCTCTCTCCAGAGACCGAGTGAGGCCGCCAGAACTCTGCGACGAGCCGTTCTTAAGGTCGAGGATGCTAATCTACGGTTACTCCGAGGATCTTCGAGCTGGGTAGCATCTTCTACGGCGACAACGGCAGAAGACGGTGATTACTTGCTCAAGAACACTATGGAGAAGCGCATCGCCCTGTGTACCCACTCGTACTTAAATCATAGTGCCAGGGGCCGTTACATGGATGACTATGTTGTGGCAGCGGATTCCCAGCGTGAGGCCGAGACCATGTACGACGAGGATGGCCAGGTGACCAAGTCCAGAGGCCAGCACTTCTCGGAAAAGAAGACTAAGCGAAGTTGGGACCCTACAGTTGCCGAAGGCCTGGGTATTATATGGACGGCCAAAGATGAGTTCCTCCCTAGACCTGTTGACACGTCATTGTATGCTAGCGAGACGTTAACTGTACGAGGCCTCTTATCCGCTGTCCACACCTGTTATGACGTCCTGGGCCATGCGTCGTGGATACTTCTTAAGCTCAAGAAAATTTTACGGTGCTGCTTTGTGGCAGGATTGCAAATGGACTCCAGATTGTCACCTGGAGACCGCGATCAAGCATGCTCCTTACTCCATCTCTACAACGAGACTGTCACCACGTGCAGTGTCCCGAGATATGTTGACGTAAGCGAGGCAGTATTTCTCTATACGGATGCGGCTATGTCGGGCTACGGAATGGTGATCGCGGGCACAGATGTCGGCAACCCGTATCTGTGTTCAGCTCGTCTTCCGCCTCTCCCCTCGAGCTCCTACTCCATCGTCAGGAAGGAATCCTCAGCCTTTTTATGGGGACTGCAAGTATTCTGCGCACATATGCAATATTTTCCCCATTCGCTACATCGGCACTATTATCTATGCACCGACTCCACTATTGTCAAGGCCAGAGTCGAGAAGGTTATGCGAATGGAGGATGGTCAGGCGGCAAAGAAGCTCCCGAAGGGATGGACTTCCTGGGAGTGGAATATCACCAATCGTATTGTGCGACTTATCCGTCAAATTGTATGTGCTATTGGCCCTAATGGTGTTGGGCATACCCATCTCATACACTGTCCGAGTTCCCACAACTTGGCAGACCCCTACTCGCGTGGTATCGACCCTCACCTGCTTGATCGTGGTGCTGCACAGCAGTGGGTTGAAATGGTACGGTCCCAACACGAGGCTTCGAGGGAGGTCGACCATGTCTGTTGCACGCTGAGCCACGCTGACCTCGGCACCGAGGCACAGCTATTCGACAACCCTGGTCAAGACGCCGTTGTCTTTCTTGCAGCCAGCCCTGACGCTGACACTGAGAGTGACATCTATTCTTATGTCGTGAGTCTTCAGCAGAAGGACGCATTCACAGCAGTCTGTCGACGTATCGTCACTGGGGACGACTCGAACTTTGACAAAGCTTTGCTTGAGTCCCTTGTCAAGGATGTGCCTAAGGACGAACGTGCGAGGTTGAAGGCTACGTTCGAAGTCCAGTCAGAGGATGGTCAGGCAGTGCTGCGGCTCAAGGTCGGTCACATTGCCTCACAGTCAGATGGAGCCCTATATATCCCATCCGAGGCCCGCAATCGAGTACTGAGCATGGTCCATGTATTCTTCTGTCATAGACCAAGTAAATACATGTACCATTACATGCTCTCTCGCTACTATTGGAAGAATCTCTCCACGTATGTGAGGTCGTTCTGCAAGAGTTGTCCGGCGTGTCAGATGGCCAAGGGTACAGGGAGTTTCCCTGACACCGCTCCCAAGTTGTTATCTCGCGACTTCGGTGCGAACAACTTTATTGTTATCGATTGGCTGGGCCCAGTGAGTCAGAAGGAACAGGCTCCCTACCAAGGACAGGATCCTCAACCCCGATATGCTCTTCACATCTATGACCCGTCGAGGCGTTTCAACTACTTTGGGCTATCTCCTGACAAGAGTGCCTTGTCTGCTCGTCGCCTACTGCAATCCTACTGCTGGACCTTCGGCTTCCCGCTATTCGTCACGTGCGACGCCGATCGGTCGTTTTGTAGCGCTGAGGTCATGTCCTTCGCCCATTCTGTGGGATTGAAGGTTCTTCCTGGTATAAGCTATGCGCCGTTCCGTCAGGCATACATGGAACGCGTCCATAAAGAAGTGTGGTCGAGCATACGAGCTATTCAACTTGAGGAGAAGCGCCGCAACCCCACGACGCCAACTACTCCGTGGTATGAACTATTGCCAGCGGTAGCCTTCGTCCTCAACCAGTCAGCATGTGAAGAGTTCGGCTATCATTCTCCCAATGACTTAACCTTCACCTACAATCCACAGATGCCTCCCAAATGTTCTGGTCACCGTCCGAACCAGCAGCTTCAGATCTTTGTCAACAAGCTCGAAAGTGAGAGTGGTGACTTTCCCTTGCATTCGGCGACTACATACCAAGCCCTTCTGAAAGATCGACGAGATGCCTTCCACGCCGCGATGGACGAGTTTCATCGGCACCTCGATGCCACTCTCTACGAGAATCAGTTGAAGGTTGTTGGCAAACACCGACGACGGCACCAGAGCACCCTTCTAAAAGCTGGTACACCACTCTGGATTAAGGCCAGTACGGGCTTTTCCAAGTTGTCTCCCCGATGGGTCGGTCCTGTACTTTACAAGGCTCCTACCAGCTCTGACCAGATCGCCGAGATCGAAAGTCTATCTGGAAAGCCTATGGGCAAGGTACATCTCTCCCGTGTGAAACTTGCACATCTCTCGGTGGAGCTTCTCGAGGACTTCAAGAAGTTGGAGGTTAAGAGCAGCCCAGCTAGTGGCAATTCTGGCCCGGAGGACCACTCGGTGGTAAACCCTCCACAGCTGTCACCACCACGACACTTCCTCGGTGAGAACGAGACCACTCATCTGCCGGAAATCCAGAGATCGGTCGTTCCCCTTCATCTATCTACTGGGCTGTGGATTGCCTGTGACACGTGTAGCATCTGGTGCGAAGTTCCGGAACATATATATGATGAGTTCAGGGACGCTTCCTTTCAGTGTCGTGACATAGGGTGCACTTGTCTATTTCCCGATCGATCATAAGCATCACGTTTGATTGGTGTTAGGGCGATGTTCACACTTTCGGCACATAATAAGTATATATTCAATTCCGTTTTGTCTGATATATTTCTATTCCTCTCTGTTGCAACTAGTAGCAACAAACCGGCGCCCCAGTGTCCTCAGATCGCCCAAGTATCTATCGTACCGCACGCCCATGATGATAATGAAACGGCTGCTAATCAGTCATCACTAATTAATACTATTGAGATCTTCACCCAACTCTGGGGATTTGAGTTCTATAACACATGTCCACCCACGAAGATCAGCACAACGGGACGACTGCGATAGCAATTACATCGTACATCGCAAACATTGCATTTCGTGTAATTTACTCCTGCCAGGAGTAAGGTACCTACCAGGAGTCTCCTGGTAACGCATAACATCTTCCCGGCTCTTGACTCTTATATGCCACGCGACAGGTCCTTCGAAAAAGTGTTCATTTTCCTGAAGACCGAAAAAGAAGGGGAATCGTCTTGTATAAGATCATGCCGCGAGGCCATGCTGTTTTCCTTCATGTCGAAAGTGCGAATTTATTTGGAAACATTGCCTTCAGTCATTTATCCTGATGGTCTCGACGCGGTAGTATAGTAGCATTCTCTCGCTTGCACTCGATGAGTGCTACTCATCCGATCCCGCCAGGCACGTTGCTGATGGATGACGATAGACCTCGTTCTTTAGGTGATCCCCCGCCTCAGTGAGGCGGCCTCACATCAGACCATCTTGTACCATGCTTGCTCTACCCGAAGCTCCGTGTTATAGGAACTATGGCTCTAGAAATAGTGAAGGCTTGTCAGGAACCGTCCAACCGAAACAGAAGCTTAAAAAAAGCTGTCTAAAGTATGTACAACGAGTAGATGTGGCGAACTCCGTGTCGTCAACCCTTCCTACCACTTGGGATAACTGCTGCCGATTACTGGCGGCGCATCTCAACATGCAACTCCATATTATCAACTCGAGTCTCCATTTCAACCAGGAGAGCGAATCCTTAGGGGACCAACCAAAAAAACGAAACCTCTCGTTTCTCACAAATCGTTCGAGACCCGTCTCAAGCAAGAGGCCGTCGATTTGCCTTCCGGTAGCCTTGAGGGACTACCTACTATTTGGTTATCACCACCCGGCAGATGAGCAAACCCGATTTGATTCCACTTGCCCGTAACCGCACAGTGTAAGGCCGACTCATGTAATCACCGCACTCCCAGGAATCCGACTTGACCACATCCGAATGGCTACCAGAAAGAGAAAGAGGTCCCAAACTGACTGCCACCGACAGTCACCTATAATAGCACCAAATTTGCAACACTCATATTCATCTGGGAGGTCAGACAATCATGATATAATCTCTCCGCCTCTTTTGCAGAACCCTCCCAAACCAGCTAGGCTCACATCGACCAATATAGACCATCTAACGCATTACAATTTATCAATCGGGAAGCATCGCAACTACTTGTAATACAGTTAATGTAGGACAGTATTGTCGTCATCTGTCTCACCTTCGGCAGTCACCTAGCTCAGAAAGCACCAGATCTATCTTAACGGGGTATCGAGCTTGCCAATAGTGATCCAATGTTGGTGTGATGCATCCGCTAAACCCGACCATAACGGAGCGCCAAATGCTCTGAGATCAGGCTCTCGAACCATCCGCCAAGGCATCGATAAACTGACCAAATTTCACAGGAGTTTCACCTCCCATAGCCTTAGGACCGTCTTCATCACCACCATCTCCGCGATCTCTGTTGTGACCAAACTACACCGAATACCACATCCATTTCGGCATGAATCAAATAACACCGTAAGTCTTATTCCGTCCAATGCTGACTCAACTGTTGAGCCTCAACCACAGTTAGTGCTTCATCAGTGCCGACA